AGGGGTCCTTGTCCAGTAGGTGTTGTCCAGAGCGGGGGTGGTCTCCGGCAGGGCCTCTGGGTGGATAGGTGGTGTGGCATGGTGCTGGTCCAGATGGAGAGGGCGTCCCACTGGGTCTGTCTTCACTGCCCCTTCTTATAGGGGCAGACCTTGTGTGACCCTAGTGACAGGAGGCATGCCCAGGCAAGGGTCAGCCCTGCTGTACTAAGCATGTGTGCTTCATGCAGGGATGTGCAGTTTCGGGTGTCTGTAATGGTTGGGTACAATGGGAGAGTTGCTGGTTCTGCAGGGTCTTTTGTCTTTCAAATGCTGGGTTCTTGTCTCTGTTCCTGGGTGAGGTCTGTGGCTCCTGGATGAATCAATGCAAGGTGATGGCCTGGTCGTTACAGGCCATTCAGTAGAGGCCTGCTACCATTGTATTTCAGTCATTCTCAATCACTCTCATTCATCCGGGAACCAATTTACATGGGAGGGGTGCGTGAATCATACAGTTGCAACACAGGGGATGCCCGGGCAGAGGACACAAGATGGAGGCTTGACATACAAAATGGAAACTTGACGTGACTTACGCTAACTTACATATATAGGCCTAAAACATTAATCACACAATATAAAAGCAGTACAAACATAATAATTATCACTTATAAAACAGTGGGTATCAGTATCAAAATAGCAGGGAACTTATTTGCAAAGAGGGGAGAGAAAAATAAAACTTGCTACCTAAAATAAAATGTTAAAGTTTATCCTACATCTTAGCTTACTTATACTCATCTAGAGGGAATAGAGAGGGAGAGAAAAAGTCAGAAATAGTGGGGGAAGGGGAGGGAATGCATTTTAAAATAAAAAAAGAAAACCTGGGGGTTTTGCTACAGAGCCATGTGGCTCTGGCCACAGCCCACCCTGTCAGCTGGTCTGAACTCGGAGAGCTTGCTGTCCACGTGGAGCTCCAGCAAGGCTTTTCTGTGTAGCCCTCGGCCTGTTTCTGATTGTAAGGTTTGGCCCCTTGTAAAAAACAAAAACAAAACAAAGAAACAAAAAAGGTTGAGCACTGCTAACACAATCTGTGACCACAGCAAGTCAAGGACAGAGATGGACATTGTCTTGCAGTACACCTGTGGTCACACGAACCTGTTGGGTGGTTGAATTGGCAGTTATTATACCAGAATTTGAATTCTCATAAGGCAGTGGTTCTGAACCAGGACACTGTGGCATGCGTATTCCTGCAGCACAAGCCAGCTCTCCTGCCTGCTTTGGGGTTATTGGAGAGCCCTAATGCAGGAGGAGCCACACAGATGCTGCAGCCCTTCCCAGGCTGGCTGCACACAAGATACGTGGGGCCATTTTACCTGGAGGCAGAAGCATGCAGTTAAGAAACCACTTAGGTAAGCTGAACACAACAGCGGTTCTTAACTGCGAATGTTACCACATTCAAAAATGTTGTTGAGGGTGTCCTGATGCTGAAAAGGTTGAGGACCACTGTCATAAGGTATCTTGACAGCTGCAATTATGGGTTTTGGAATCCTATCATTTGGAGAACTTCAGAAAGCCATCGGAAGTCAGCAGAGTTCTGTGTTTTTGAGACTCTGGCAGAATTTGCCATCTAAAATAGTTGTTTGTCTTGAGCATCTTTGAATAGTCACCTTGCATAGTGTATGAGCTCTGACATGCTTCTCCACTTAAAAAAAATCCAGTTTATTTGGTTCTTAACAGGGGAATAAAGGCTTTGATCCTGTTTTAACAACAATCTGTTTATGATTTTTCAGTTTTAATTACAGAAGACCTGTCACAGTAATTGTTCATATTTTGTTCTCATCTCCCAAGAAATAAAATCAGATTATCAGGCCAATAAACCGCTGCTTGAGAGCTGTTCCATGAATCTTAGTTTTGTTGCTCATGACAAAGAGCAAGTTTGTTGCACTGGCTCAGTACTTCAGTCCTCAGTTTGGAGTCAGTGCTGTGGAACTTTTTAGTTGTCCTGAAGCTTGTCTTAGATCTTCCCTGGTGAATGGGTTGTGGTTAATGAGATCAGTTAAGCCCGGAGAGATCCCACCTACAATGAGCCATACATCGCTAGC